TAGTTTTTGTTTACTGCTCCCCCATTGAAATACAGACTCTCTAAGGGAAAGAACCTTGTCTACTTTAGTAATGTGTTCAGAAGCTAATACAATGTCCAACTCATTGTACTTAATGTTCTGAATAAATGATATTTCCCACTAATTACAGGCCCTCAACTATGAACCAATGTATTATCGGAACAGTGCTTTAAATAAAAATTCTATCTACATATATTGCTGCCTTATGATCCAACATTTAAAAAAAAATGTAGACTAACTGAATCCATTCAATAATAGGTCTCCAAAACAGTGACACTGACTATACTATTTGAATAATTATGACAATTTGGTAACTTTTGAAAGCATATTTAATTTTTTAAAAATTAAAAACATTTACTTTTGAGGGCTATGTATGCCACTAAATAAACAACAGTTATAAATTGTCATTATCATCATCCAGGCTTACTTCCTGCTTCCAGTTGGTTTCACCTGACCGTCAAAAACAAATCAAGCAAGTCATACATAAATTGTACTCTATCCTGTTATTTCAAAAATCAATACATGTGTGTTAATTACTTACTTTGTGGATAAAAGAACCTTGGGATAGGAAGTGATTAACCAATAGAAGTTACATTTAAAGACTATAACTACTTCTACCGCCATTCACATGTATATGGTTTGTACAAATTGTTAAATGCTCAACTACTAGTCAAAAAGTTGGTGGTTTGAACCCATCCACAGGCACTTTAGATAAGTCACAACCTCGAAAGCTTTATGAAGTGCTCTTCTCTGTACACATGGGGTTACCAGGAATCAAAATTATCTTGATGAAAACGAACACTAAAAAAACATGATTAATTCACGCTATCATAGTGGAGTCAACAGTAAGTACAATGAAAGCTCAAAAGATGAACCAAAATCAGGGAGATCAGCATACATTCCATTACTAAAATTAAAACTTAACATGAAGAATAGATGCAATTGTAAAAGGAAGGAAGGAAGTAGCAAGGTAGCTCTGGTGGCACAGCCCATAGCAAGTTTCACTGCTAACCTAAGAAGGAAGGAGGGCAAGAATGTAAAAAATAATAAACACTGCAGAAATCAAGTTCTGGAAACTAAAAGGCCAATCTTGTTAATATGGAAAAAACGAAGCAAAAACCAATCTGTAGCTAATTGTTGAAATGGAAATTTGTCATTGATTATATCCAGCATCCTGACTTCAGTGGAACAGTTTCTATCTAAAGAAGTTCTGGTGGCATAGTCTGAAAGGAATTGTGCTGCTGACACAAGGGCAGTCTCTGATGGGGCAAATTCACCAGTGGCTCCGAGGAAAAAAGTTGGGCAACCTCTTGTACAAGTCAGTTTCTCAAAAACCCACTGAAGGAGGGAAACTATGATTTTATTCAGATTCAGCAGCAATGGGTTTGAGATGCTTTTATGCGTTTTGAGTTTTTTTTGTTGTGTTTGTTTTTGTGCTTTTTTTTTTTTAAGTAGACCAGCTTTCAAGAGGCAATTACAAAGAGTATAGGGAAGGCCCAAAATTTATCATTTTATCATTTTAAAACGAGCCCACGATCCTAGGATTTGGGTGTTGGCTCCTGGAATACAAGGATAATTAACAGTGAAAGGAAATGTTAGGAGAAAATCCACTTGTCCTTGTGTAAACTGTAATAATTCATTTATAGGCCTTGCCTCCCTATCATTAAGCAAGGGTACTAAGTCATTAAGAGAAACGATGAAGATCAATATTTGGCATGCTTAACACCATTACACGCACAGGAGTAGCAGGAATTAAGGGCTGCTGGAAGGTTCAGTGTCGCGGGACCAAGGAATGGACAGAGGGAGGGCAGGAGAGAACAGGGAAAAAAGGGCAGGGGAAAAGAACCGCTAAGCACACGAATTCACGATCCTCCCCCCCTCCTCCTCACTGCCGACGCCGGGCCTCGAACCTGCTGTGCCAGGAGTTGGCGCCGGAGCTTCTGCCGCTCCCGGATCTCCTGCAAGCGGCCGTCCATATTGCAATTCCTGTATTCCACTACCTGAAAGCTAGGTCATGCAAATCAATGCCTGTTCAAGTCTGTGGAACACAAATTTTGCCAAGAGGGTCGGATAAACAGACTTTTTCTTTTCCTAGAAGGGATTTCCGGCACGACCGGAACTGACTCTGACGTTTCCCGGAAGTCCCTCCTCTTTGGGGATGCCTGCGAATTGAGGTAAGTCAGAAGGGGCTGAATAAGGAAGAGGAGGGATCTCCGAGGTTTTTTCGCTGGCCTGTTTTAGGGACGCTACCAGGACGGGTCTTTCTATGGTTCTATTGTTGTAGCCACCCTTTTTCTATAGCATGGACTGCTTTATTCTTTTCCACTGTTGTGAACCCATAGCTGACCCTCTCGCGGATTTTCGAGAGGCTGTAATCCAAAGCAGGAGGGGAATTGCCTATCTTTCTTAGACCAAGCTGTTGTTGGAATTCCTTAACAGGAAGTCAGCAGAACCTTCTAGTTCCTGAAATAATGTAAAGAAAAAAAAAACCCAACAAAACTGTACTACCATACCCAATGACGTTTAGTCTAAAGGCCTCTTGGGCCACCTTCCAGTGGTTTTTTTTTTTTAGGCTGGACATTGCATGGGAGAAGGTGGTTGCTCACCTTTCTGCCTCTGAGCAGCTGATGGATTCCATAAACTGTCAGAGAAGCGCCACCTTCGGGTTAGGCTCCCAATTCATGAACTGTGTCTCCAGTACTCCCTGAAGAAGGAAAAGAAAAGAATAAATTGCATTAAAAGAATAAACACCTAAAATAAGCAGGTAAAGGACAACCCAGAAGGTGTATTTTATAATGATGAAGTAGAAGCTAATTTTTTTTGTATATACAATCTGACAATTAGTTAAGTCAGGGATGGTACCCTGAAATAATTGGCAAACAATAGATTCAATCTCTGGAACCACTGCACTCACTGTCTCTATTTCCCAGCAAGTGAAGAAATAGAGTGCAAAAAATCATCACTTAATCTCGAAGATGATTAACCTAGACATGGCACTCATTACTTCTGGTTTCCTAATTGGTCAAAATTCAGTTTATACTTACCACTTTGGGGAGCTGTGATGACAATGTTAAGGAGTTGTGCTGCTAAACCTACAGGCAGGTAGTTCGAATCACCAGATGTTCCTGTGAAGAAAGATGGGTAAACGCCTATGAGATTTATAGCCTCTGACAAAAATTCTCACCATTGATTGGAACGATAAACAACATAATTAGAGATAGAGAAAAGATTGAAATTTTCAATGGTTTCTTCTCACTTTTATCCACAATCAGCACCCTTTGGTACCAGCAGTCAGTAGAGCAGGAGATGTATTGCACTGGGCAAATAGACTGTCACGATCTCTCCAGATTACTGAGGAGCAATGATGTCAGCTTGAAAAACCAAGCATTTTTCCTAATTCAGATCATGGTCTTTTCTATCACTTGCTATGCATCTGAGAGCTAGA